CTGTGTTATAGGAACAGAACTGCTCAGTCTCGACGGACACAGAGACTTTTTGTTGCATATGCCCTCGATAAACTGGGCCTGCCGATCACGGCGCAACGCTTGTCACACTGGATCATATCGACCATCGAGCTTTGTTATCAACTGGCTCAACAACAACCCCCCTCGGTCGTCCGGGCTCGGTCGACCAGGGCTATGGCGGCATCCACAGCCTTTCTTAAGGGGATTCCCCTGGACGCTATCTGCAAAGCGGCCATTTGGAAGAATCCTCAGACATTTGTGTCGCATTATAGACTGAACACCAGGTATACACCTGACATGGCCTTTGGGAGGGCAGTTCTGGGCTCATGCCCGCCTTGAGCTTTGCAAAGTGTTCTATCGGTACCGAGTGTTCCTTCGATACCGTGTGTTACTGTGAATGTTATTACCATGTTGTTACTTGAATTTTCTTTTTGCCGGTGAATGTAACCGCACCTTTACACTTGATGCCTTACTGCCTGAGGCACAGGCAGCCATTGCACTATGGCCTAATGGGCTCATCACGGGTATTCTATGTCTTTATTGCTGACTTTGCCTTGCATATGTATGGTGCACTTGTTAACAAGTTGTTTCTTGTATTACTATCTGATGTGCCCTCATTATGATGAGTGTCTTCGATAACCACCATGTGTTTATTTCAAGGGTCGAAAGTTTACTCAGTTGTTGGTCACCCTCACGTGACCGGGAGGATCACGTACTCCCATACGTTTATGCACTGTGCCCTTCTTTGGAAGTGATTACAACCTCTTGTTATGCATTGTGCCCTTCTTCGGAAGTGATTACACTCTCTTGGTGGTAACTGTTTTTGCACTTAATAAAATTGTTTGGCCCTTGACTTTAATGGTCGGTTTGCTTTCTTCCTGCCTCCGGGACCTGAGCTTGCTAGTCTCCACAAGTGTGCATTCGCAGAGACCACGAAGAAAAATGGTAGGTTACATACCTGTGACCATCTTTCTTCGAGTGGTGCTCTGCGAATTCACACTAACCCGCCCAGCCTCCCCTCTAGCAAACCTCCAATTTCTCGCTACCGTAGCGGCGTAGGAATTGGATCGGTGTGCGCGGGGCGCCCTTTTATCCCCTGCCGGGGCTGGGCGGGGTTACCGCCAAAACTTCAAAAGTTTTAAAATGTAGAAGTTTCCGTTGGAGCCCGCGCAGGCGCAGTCTCTCCACAAGTGTGAATTCGCAGAGCACCACTCGAAGAAAGATGGTCACAGGTATGTAACCTACCATTATCAAAGCAAATAACCTACATTATCTGCTTTGAACTAGATTATATGAGTCTGCACTGTCATATAATCAAGTTCAAAGCAGATAATCTGGATTTTATATGGCAGTGTAGAGGAGACCCAAGATAGTCAGCAAGTGAGTACTATTTGAATTAAATTGGGACGAAAGTCGGGGGGGTGGGGGTGGAAGAAGAGAGGGAAATGGGGAGACTTTAAAAGCTGCTGGAAAAGTGTGATGACAGAAGATTGACCAGGGCAGTTGGAAGTATGCCATCATTATCTCTCATGGCAGTGATGTGCTATGTTCTACCAATTCACCAAATCTAAATGCTCTTCAGCACATAATAATAATATAATAATAAAACTTTATATGCCGCCCCCTCTCTCCAAGGGGACTTGAGACAGTTTACAACAAGGAAAACAATATAAATAATAATAGTCACACAACCAAATTAGGAAAAGTTAAATCAGAACAGCAAATCAAAAAACAAACCACAATATATAAAGGAAAATTAAAGCACAATAACCATATTAATTATAACACAAAGGTACATCACAATTACAAAATCATAGGATGATTTAGACATGTAATACACTAAACAATTACAAAACCAACACTTTTTGGTGAAAGCAATAAAATCCAGTTAACATTTCACTCATTTAAAAGTGTCCATCACTTATGGTTAGCTGTTTTCAAAAGCCTGCTTCCACACCCATGTTTTTAATTCCTTCCTGAAGATAATTAGTGCAGGAGCCAATCTAATCTCCTTGGGGAGGGCATTCCAGAGCTGGGAAGCCACCATCAAGAAAGCCCTTTCCCTCGTCCCAAGCAGCCACGCTTGGGATGGCGGTGGGACCATGAGTAGGGCCTTCTTGGCGGACCTCAAAGCCCGGACAGGTTCATAGGGGGAGATGTGGCCACACAAACAGACTGGACCCAAACTATGTAGGCCTTTATAGGTAATAACCTGCACTTTGAATTGGGCCCAGAAACATATAGGCAGCCAATGGAGCTGTTTTAAGAGATGGGTGGTGCTCTCCCTGTAATCAGCTCATGTTAGTAATCTGGCTGCAGCTCTTTGCACTAATTGTAATTTCCGAGCCGTTTTCATAGGTAGCACCACGTAGAGTGCATTGCAGTAAGATGTAAGCATCTGAGATGTAAGCATCAAAGATGTAGAATTTGCTCCCTTAACCTTTGAAATAATTATCCTCTGTGTTAGTTTGCTGCTTTTGTGAAATGAGATGTATTTTCACTGCTTTCGATGTATGGTGCATTTAATTTTATTGCTTTCAGTGTTTAAGAAAACCTGAAAGAGTCTGTTCAAGAAGAAAGGAGGGAAAATAACACAATATAGAGCAGGAAGGACTGCTATCCCCAAATCATCTCATTTGTTAGAGATGTGCCTTTGGGTAAAGCTACACTGTAAAATGAATGCAGTTTGACACCACAATAACAGTCATAATTTAATGCTATGACAGCTTGGAAGCTGAAACTTGGTAAGGCACCAGCACTCTAGCAGAAAAGGTAAAGACTTTGTAAAATTGCAACTCCCATAATTCCATAGTATTGCACCATGGCAGTGAAAGGGACATTAAACTGCATTAATTCTACAGTGTAGACACATCCCTTGTTTTTCCAGTTAACCAGAGTAAATGTTGAGTGAATTTTTGAGTGAATTATAGGGTTTCCCTTTCTTTTTAAAATTCATGTTTCTTGTTCTGTGACACAAAGCATTATAGCATGTTCCACAGGGAAAAAAACTTTTTGGTTTGGGTCTGTATTTGGTTTGATGTTGGCATTTTTATTAAATAAGCCCTTCTAGTTTGCTTTAGACTTGCTGTACTATGTCAAAGATGTATGTAATCCTATGCACACTTATCTAAAAGTAACCTTCACCAAACACAGTGGGACTTGTAACCCAAGCAAATATGTGTTTATACTGCTCTGCAGCATAAAAAGTTAAGAATCAGATATCATTTCATGCTGTTTTAATCCACGTCCATATGGCTCCTTTTCAGATGAACTGGTTACATTGCCAGTTGTTTGTCTCTCTGTTTTCTCAACTCCATTTTTGGCAAGGCAGGCGAAAAAGAGGTTAACAAATGAGGGGGAAGGAAAACCAGCTGTGATAAAAAAGAATGTCGCGTGGCATGTCTGTCCCTTGCAAAGTGAAGTCGGTTCACTCTCAACTGTACAAAGTCCACCGAAGTGCAGAGTGTGACCTTTCTCTTACAAAGCAAAAATAAAATTTGACTACTTCAAAGGAATCTTGGCATTTTTAGAGAAAACAATATATAACTACAATTGCTGATGCAGTTTCCTATTGTAATACCTTATTGCAAACTTCTGTAAATAAACAGTAATTTAGAACATTGAGAAAAACTAATATTAAGGGCATAACTTAGTTCATTTTTCTTTTCTTTTCAGCATTTCTCTCTAGTTCTTATGACATCAAGGTTGGGCTTAAAAATGAGTAGGTTCCAAAGCTTGCTAGTCCACTTACCAGCAAGTAAGTCCCACTATAAAGAATCACTATATAGATGTATGTTCAAAAATGAATTCTATTTTTCCATCTTGATTGTATTAACAAATAGCTGCCCAGCAATACTAAATAGATAGTAGAAGACAGGCTACAGAGGGGTGTGGTGAAAATTTTAAAGGCCTGTGACAAATTTGCTAAGCACTTTGAGGAAAAATTGTTCAAGATGTGTTTCAAATCCAACATTCTCATTGATACAGTTCAATCAAGGATGTCCAAAGTACCATCTGTGGGTTTCAACTAACTGAGTGAAATACTTAGAAGGAGGAATGAGACAGTATAGTGTAGTTCTTGAGATCCCCATTGACCCTCTGAAAGGCACCTGCCTTTTAAAGCTAAAACAATTTGAAAGTACAAAAATAAAAACCCATAGTTTTCAGTAGCTGTTTCATGTTGCTTGGGTACTAAGGATGTGACTACGATGGTACAACTTAGACCCTCCAGAGCTCCAGGTGAGCCAAAAATCTGATTCTATGGCACTTCAGGGTACAAAATGTGACCACCTTGCTTACAAGGATATCACTAGCTATCTGTACACTTTATCCTTGCCTAATTGAGGAAGGAAGATTAACTTGGGGCTCTTCCACACAGCCATATAATCCATAAATTCAAGGCAGAAAATCTCACAATATCTGCTTTGAACTGGGTTATCTGAGTCCACACTGCCATATATTCCAGTTCAAAGCAGATAATGTGGGATTTTAGTCAGCTGTGTGGAAGGGGCCTAGCTGTTCAAGGGAATTATGGACCCTTTATAAAAGGTCATTGCTACCTGCCCTGAAAGAGACACTTATGTGCCTATTTTTCACAAGTTTAACCCAGTCACATATGCCATTTTTAGGATAAGGTTTTAGAGAAGTTCCAGCTCCAAGCACTTCCAAGTGAAGTGGATCATTTAAAGGAATTTGAATTGTTTTTCAGGCCTGGAGTGTTTTTGAGATGGTCTTGGTCACCCTACTCCATCATTGGGAGAGAAACAGGGAGAAAGGGGTTGCTATTCCTCCCGTATCTTTCACCAGTTTTTCATACCACCTGCTGTGACAGCTTGATGGTTCAGTTCTGAGTGGGTGGAGGAGTTCACCTCCTACCTACAGGGTTGATCTCTGAGTGATTCCAATTTATGGTTATGATAGTTTCACCATGTTGTTCCAGAGATTTCCATCTTATCACCAGTGTTGTTTTAACATACTTTTAAGGTCTCTCAATGAAATCATTGTGGGATTTGAAGTGAGATGTCTTACTTACTTACTTACTTAGGTGATCCCTCGTTGACTGAGTAAGATTGTCTTCCAAGATCAGTATACTGGTGGTGGGTACGTAGGTGACTGTGGAGCCCTATTCTTGACCTGCATGTTCTCCCACAGTGAGGGCATTGGTTTCCAGGTAGAAGGCGGTCTTGGTCAGGGTTGGCTTGATGCACCTTCCTCTTGGCACATTTCTCTCTTTCGTCCTCCATTTGTGCCTCTTCAAATTCTACAGCACTGCTGGTCACAGCTGACCTCCAGCTGGAGTGTCAAGGGCCAGAGGTTCCCACTTCTCAGTGTCTATGCCAGAGTTTTTAAGGTTGGCTTTGAGCCCATCTTTAAATCTCTTTCCTTTTCTTCCAACATTTCATTTTCCATTCTTGAGTTTGGAGTAGAGCAGCTGTTTTGGGAGACAGTGGTCAGGCATCCGGACAATGTGACCTGTCCAGTGGAGTTGATGGCGGAGGACCATCGCTTCAGTGCTGGTGGTCTTTGCTTCATCCAGCATGCTGACATTTGTCCACTTGTCTTCCCAAGAGATTTGCAGGTTTTTTCGGAGGCAAGTGAAGTGTCATACATTTGCGGATGGCCCTTCTCTACTACTTTATGTCCTATACGTATTGAACCAAAGTCCAAATTCTGTAATGTTTTGGATGAGGGCAAAAATGTAAAGATGGATCTTAAGAACATGGAGGTAATTTACATATCCTGTATATACTCAAGTATAAGCCTAGTTTTTCAGCTCTTTTTATAGGTTTAAAAAGTCCCCCTCGGCTTATACTCGAGTCAAGGTTATTTATTATTTTACTGTGATATTATTATTATTATTATTATTATTATTATTATTATCAATATCATTTCATTTCTTATTTTATTCTATCTATTATTATTACATTTATCATTTTACTCTATTATTATACATTTATTATTTTACTGTATAATTGCTATTGCTACATTCATTATTTTACTCTTTTTATTATTGTTGTTATTATTACATTTATTATCTTACTCTCTTTATAATTATTGGAAGGATACGTAAGCACATTTACATTGAAGAAGGTAAATGATCATTTAATCAGAGTTGGACAGTCTCATCTTAAATTACCATTTTTGTAAATATTAAAGAATATATAACCTACTGATTCCTCAATTAATGTAATTTAATTGGTATCTATTTTTCTTTTGCAATTTACCAGTAGCTGCTGCATTTCCCACCCTCGGCTTATACTCGAGTCAATCCGTTTTTTGTGGTAAAATTAGGTGCCTCGGTTTATATTCAGGTCGGTTTATACTTGAATATATACGGTATGTAGGAGATTCTTCTGCCAGGAATTGATTGTTTAGCCTCTTCTGAGGGCCCTTCCACACAGCCCTTTATCTCAGAATATCAAGGCAGAAAATCCCACAATATCTGCTTTGAACTGGGTTATCTGAGTCCACACTCAGATAATGTGGGATTTTTTGCCTTTATATTCTGGGATATAAGGCTGTGTTGAAGGACCCTGACTCTCCTTGAAAGAAGTAGTAGGTTTTAACCAGTCTTGTAACAAGGCCTATATGACTTCAGCAGCCAGAAATACTTTTGTCTGGTGTTCCAGTTTCACCCTTTCCACAAGAGGTCTGGCCACAGTAGTTCATGCTTTCAAATCAATTGGGCTGCATTGCACATGGGGCTTTCCTTGAACATAACTAAGAGGTTTCAGCTACTGTAGGGCATGACAGCCAGGATTTCTTAGCTAAGGAATGGTTTGCTAAGGTGGTTTGCCATTTCCATCCTCTGAAATATAGTCCACAAATGCCTTTATACACTTAGATATCTGAAGGAGTGCCTGCATCCTGCTTGTGCACTAGGTTTTCAGGAGAGCCAAGTTCTCCAAGTAACTTTGATGAATTATGTGAAAACAAAGAACAGAACTTGCTCTAATGTAGTGAACAATGTGTGGAAGACTTTCTCATAGAGGTGGGATAACACTGATACTATATTATTTTCAGTGGCTAGTGAAAAATCTATGAAGCCAGGTGGCACCACTTCCAAATCTGTATATGCCTTACCTCATTATTGTGGATTTATTCAGATTTCAAAATTTGTAACAGTTTAAAAACTATCCTGACCCTCTAAGATGAAGGGTGTTATATAAATATTTTAAATAAATACATAAACAAGACACCAGGACAAAAACTAAGTTGGTTTACACATATCTAGTGACACATTCAGCACTTGGCTATCACTTTCCAAGGCAGCCCCATGGTTTTTTAATAAAATGTTGGTTTTTTAAAAAAAACAACCCCAGTCCTTTGTTAGGAAGACTTCCATGTTTGAAGTGAACCAAAATTCGTATCCAACAAACTGTAGTTAGGCAGTTCATCCATTTTCAGACTCTGAAATAGATAATACATTTTTTAAAAGATAAAAGTTGCAAGTTTGTTTTTGTTTTTTTTAGAAAGCTTTCTTTCAAAAAACAGAAGTAACCATGAAGCTGACCCATCAAGATCATGGAAAGGAAACCCCACCTAAATAAACAAAGAGCTCTTTCTGTAGAACACATGTGGTAGATGAGAAAGATTGTTGGTGCTTAAGGGTGAAAAAAAAATGCATGCCCCGCCTTATCCTTTTTTATACGAGAAAGAGAATATCTTTTACTAGAAGAGAAGCAAAATAAATCTCAATGGAATGTGGGAATATTTGTTATCTATATTAAGCAGAGTGTAGAGAGGCTAGTGCAATATGAGCTTGTGGTAGAAACAGAACTTATTCTGGCTATCTATTGTCTAAGGAAATCTATTTCAGGATAGGAAAGGAGATTGGCAAAATAAGTTGTCTTATACTTGGTTAGAAGAAGCCTTAAAAGTTGGGCTGACGGCAGGAATCATGAATGCAATATAATAGCATTTTATAAGAGAGAGAAATGCACTATTGCAATGCCCCTGCAGGTTTTATTGAATTGCCTAGATATGTTTCCGGGAGCATCTGTTAATCCTCAACTAATTCTCATATATATAGGCAGTCCCCAGTTTACAAACAAGATAGGTTCTGTAGATTTGTTCTTAAATCACATTTTTATGTAAGTCGGAACAGGTACACTTTTAAATGTCACTCTAACCTTCATACACACACACACACACACACACACACACAAAGAGAGAGGAGGGAGAGAGAGAGGGAGGGAGAGAGAGGGAGGGAGGGAGGGAGGGGAGAGGGAAAGAGTTTGTTTGGGATAGCATAGAGAAAAGTTAACACCCCTGTGGTGTTTCTTTTGCTGTCTCTACTCCTGTTCAGAACATTTCACCTCACTTCCTGTCTCTGTGATAATTGGAATTTGAAAAATTTGGCTTCTTGGGGAAATAAGGATTAGTGATCAAGATTACGTGAGACCCCTTTTTCCTATGATAGCTTTTCCAGGAATGGATTTCCTTTTGAGGTGTAGATTTCTCTCATTCCCTGTTGTCTCACTACTGTTCTTAACTATGAGTTGTTTGTAAGTCAGATGTTTGTAACATAGGAACTGCCTGTACATGCAGTTCTATCAATCCTAACAAGTAACAAGAATGTTTGTAACTCGGGGACGGCCTCTGTGTGTGTGTGTGTTTAAATTAATGTAATTCACAGTTAAAGTAATGAGAAAAACAAAAAGCAGAGAGCAGGCATATAGCCAGGGGGGGGGGGGGGGGGGGTGGGGGGGCTTCAGCCCCCCCCCCCGAAATTTTCATGGTGGTTCGCGAAAAGGCCTTATTGGTGCATTATTTAAACTTATGTTTATTCATATCATGATCTGATCACCATACTCAATATATCCCATATGCATGGGGGTATTGGGGTAATGATACAAAAGGTTTGCTAGGCTAGACCCTCTTTCACTCAGACTCGCCCCCCCCCGAAAGCCCCCCCGAAGCCCCCCCTGAAAAAAATTCTCACCCCCCCCCCCGAAACGAAATCCTGGCTACGGGCCTGGCAGAGAGGAAAGGGAAGAGATAAATATATATGAAGATACACATGTAACTAAGACTAAAATTGCACTAAAGTTAGAATACATTAATAAAATCCCAAGCTAAATCAATAAACAGTGACAAAAACACAAAAACATTCAGTAGTACAACACAAACACTAAAAAGCTCTGACACCCCCCTCCCCCATTTTAAACTGTAATAAAAAGGTACCCGGGGGGGGGGGGAGCAAAAGAAGAGATATATTATTTTACCATGACAAATCCAACTAAATAAACCTAGGGCTTATTTACAGAAATTCAATAACCCACAGTGGCTAAAAATCAATCCTAGATGTCTATATGTCATGTGGGGACTTCCGATCATTCTGGGATAAACCAGGTTAAACCAGTTTAGCTCTGCTCTAAATAAAGAAAGAGCATGCTCCAGAGTTTGGATAAAATTATGGAGCAGCCTCACAATTTGGGTAGAGTGACAGCACAACCGATGTACCATTGTCAATTACCAAAATCTGTTGGGGTTTTTTTATTGACTATATTGTCTTCATAGCCTGGATAATATTTTCACCAAAATCCATTCTCTTCAATTCCATGAAATTTTATCAAAAGCTTTATCTACATCAAAAGAAATTTGAACAGAAATTTTTATCATTGCAATATTCCAAATACTCAGTGATATTCAAACCAGTTCTTATATTGTTCATTAGCTGTCATTTTGGTAAAAATCCACTTTGAGCCTCAGTAATATTCTGGAGCTCATCTACAATGGCTTCATACAGTTGAGCTGATCCAAAGTAGGTACTCCGTATCAGCCCCAGGGGATTCTGCACAGCCAGTTGCCAAGATAGCTCAGTGACAGGAAGGAACTTTGTTTCACACTGTTGGACAGACACCCATGCTTAAAATGTCCTTTGTGTCCTCAGCATATATTGGTGACTACCAAGCATGAAACTTCTGGTGATCATTGCTTGTCCCATGTACTGACACTGGTGGAAGTACCAAAATGACACAATATAGTGGAGGGAAGAAAGGAAGATTTGCCCCCTTCTTTCTCTCTCCCTTCATCTTCGGTGTGGGTTCTGCCAGCTATATGTCATCTGCAGTGACATCAGCAGTGGTGACACAGCAAGTGAGGGAGGAGGGACAGAAATTGGATGATTCGTCCTCTCTCCCTCCCTCATCACCTTAAGCTATGACACTGCAGTTGACAGTGGCTATGCTGGATCAGCCCGGGGTAATGGATCAGTGGAGATGAACCTCAAGTCATCTGCTTCTGTTTTCAATGTTTTCTTAGTAGCCATTTTATAGTGTGTTTTATGGTGTGCTATGAAACATAATTTTTATATGATGTGCTATAAAAAGTTCCAGCACCCGAGGCATTATTTCCCCCTTGTCACTTTTAATTGTTCACTTAGATAATGAATTTAATTCTTATTCTCAGTTCAAAATTGCTACTGAATTTAACTTTCATTTATTTTCATCAGTACAATATGTAATGTCCATTCCTCTCAGAACTTGTTTTGACTTGAAAGTAATTAGTGACTGTGGATGTTTCTAATGTTTACAATGTTGATTATTTTTATCTTTTTGCCTTCAATAGATCTCCAGTTGGATGGGTGTTCTTCCTTGCCTTTTCAGCAAGGACTGTCAAAGGTCCTATCAATCATGCTGCAAATCCTTGTTTGGAGAAGTATTCAGTCTAGCTGACCTAAATGGATTCCTTGTGTGATCTTTCAGCGTTGGTGTGTGGAGCAATGTAATTCCCAAATACACATCTCTACCTGACAGCCCCCAGCTTGGTACCGAATCCAGAAGCTATTCAAGAGATTATGATTATGTCCCTGTCTTTATAAATAAACAGAAAATAATAAATCCTGCAAGGTTGATGCAGCACACAGATTGTGCTGCTAATGGCCATCTTGACCAGAGCCATCAATCCTCAACTAATTCTTTTCAGCCAGAAGCTAATCACAACCTTAACTACTATTGTGATGTGCCTTTTGACACATCTACTCTGACCATTTATTGCAGCATCAAGCCAACTTAAAATTGCAGCAGCTACAGAACACATACTGCCAAAATACACTGCAGCGTGACCCAAGGCCAGTAAAGTACATGAAATAAAGTCAAGGAAAGTCCAAGTTAAGCCCCTTAATACACTTCAGCGAGCTACAAATGTAAACCACATTGCACTGGCAAAATCAGCTCTGGAACAGCGGGGGTGGGGGTGCTGAAAAACACCCTAAGGGCATGGCTGGGCAGCAGGAGGCTAATTGACCTCCCTGGGGCAGTAATTGATTACCTCCACTGCTGTCACTCCCCCCCCCTTTTTTTTTACATGTTATGCTCCAGAGTGCTGGCGCACATCATTCCGGGGAAATGGGGGAAAGCCCACATAATGGTTGGAGGCCATTTTCTGTGTTTAATATAATTAACTTCTGGCCTCAAACCTGTTCCAGACATATCAGTAATCATACTGACAGCAAAGTTAGTAGCAACTATATTTGGCAACACGTCATATAGCTCCCTGCACATTTCCAAAACTAAAATAATGTCAATATTGTTTTAAGTATTAGTCATGACAGTGGTAGTAGTGATAGTGGTAATTATCTTTTGAGTCTGTATCTTCAACGTTGTTGAAGATAATGTTCTGACACCTGACATTAAGCTTTTTCCTGTGTTCTTCATTTTTTCTTGTCAGTATTACCTATAAATTCAAAGGAGAAACTTCCTGAAAACCCATTGTTTTTGCCTGACTTGGTTCAGATATAAGAATTTTGTAGTTCCAAGTCAAATTTTTGTTTTAGCACATGCTTCAAGAGCTCATTTGACCTTCTACATGCTCACTGAGTTCCCTGTTTTCCAGATCACTTGATTAGATTTTGATTTTCTTGATCTTGGCTTTCCCTGACCTAAGTACTCTACAACACTGTTCCATAGCACACCTGCTTTAAGAGATTCCAGATTGTGACTTTCAACCAATCACACCTGAGGCCCATTGGAGATAGTGGAGTGGAGGCAGAGTCACCAGAGGCAAAGAGGTTGCAGAGGCAACTATGGGCCCGTCCAGATGGTACCTTTATCCCAGGAGCTCTTACAGCAATAAGGAGGGTGGCCAAATGCCATTCCCTGTAAACACACAGACTATAGCTAAACATGGCAAAAATGTGAGATTTTCAGGTGCAGGAATATCCCGGGTCTGAGCCAAAAATCTGCATCTTCGAATATCTGTATGTCCCTGCACTCGGAAATCATGGGATGTTTTAATCTGGGTTTGTTCCCGGGTTATAGATGTCTGTTCCTGATTGGTTGGTTCCTAAAAAGAAGGTAACTAGAAGGCAAAAACTTTGCTTGTGTGCCAGAAACTTCATTAAATGTGTGGAGGGCACATTTTTCTCTGGCCAGGACAAAGTTGTGGTCCCCTAGTCAATGTTGTACATCTTTTCACAATAAGAGCAATCAGGAACAGACATGTACAACCCAGGAACAACGCCCTGCGTGCATCACTGGCCCTGCAGCTTATATAACCAAGGAACAGAACTTTTGCAACTATTTGCATCTTCGCATATTCGCATCTGCATTTTTTTTTAAAAAAACTGCTGAGGTTTCAAGTGGCTGCCCCGTGGAGGCCATCTTGGGGCTGCAAAATTGCACAACAAAGCAGCAAGTGAGGACAACGGAGGCAGAAATCCTGGGACTAAGATGTTTGTATCTGGACATCTTCTCAGCTCCCGGGTTGTTTTGCCCCTGACTAAAGTATGTGATTTGGTGCTGTTTGGAACCACCCTGGACCTAATTTGCTACACAGGCATTCCTTGCTGCCCAAGTATACTTTGTACCCCATCATTAGCAGGAGATTCTGGGATTAGGTGGCCAGAATGCCATCTATCCAAACTGTCATTCTATCCCTGATCTCAACTATTTATGCCTCAATCTTTGTCTTCCAAGTGAATCTGAGGTAGGACAATTAAAGATGTCATAAAAATAATATGACACAGTCTCCCATTTTATTGTTCCACCAAATAATATGACAGTCTCCCATTTGGTTGTTCATTCTTTGGTTCCTGTGATGACTGCGGATGATATACCAGCAAATTCCCCACCACAGGTCTGTCTTGCTTTCTTCTTCCCTCTTACCATTGTGATTCTTCTGTCCTTTCACCTTAGCATACCTAAATATCCAACACATTTTCCAAATCTGACAAAAATTCAGCAATAGTGCACCTGGGGTGATTGTGTAGAAAGGCCCTGGCACTGCTAGCAGAAATCATGGGTTCATTGGCCGAACTTGGAGAAACCTTTGACTTGACAAAAAATCTATTTAAATGCCCACTACTGAGAGACTGTGTTACTATTTCTTTTTTCAACGCTGCTCTGATGACTAAAAGCATGGGAAAGGTGCTAGGTTTTCCCCGGCTAATCAGCTGTGTGAGGACCCATTTAATCTCTGATTCAGAGATAACACTGGCTCTGCCTCTATCATCTATTGGCATACAATCCATTACATATCAGTTGCCCCCACCCTCAAGAGGCCTCTAAGTCTGTCCACATTGATCTGATAGCAAGACCCACATTTGTTTGGTGTAGAGACACCATCCTTTATTTATCCAAAATGTCACAGCACATACATGCCACCATACGGCAAAATCATTATAGATTAGAGTCAGTTTCAAGTGGCAGATTAATCAGACTCCTTTCCCCCAATAACCTTGAAAGAGATTTTACTGTTGTATTCCGTGTTTAGTTAGTAAGTACATTAAACACTTAAAACACAAGAGAGCTTAGGCCTGCAATTTATTCCTACCTTTCTTTGTTTCTGATTCAATCTCTTCTACTTCAGAAAGGAACAAGTTAAATTTCGCTTTAGCTGCTGATAATTGCCTTGGTGGAAATGAAATCAACAGCTGTGACATTATCTCTGCATGTTCTACAGACACTGAATATGCTGTATATTAGAAGGGGGAACATTTATTATGCATTGTATTTATTATTATGTTGTTTATATCATACAAATTATACATTGCTTAAAACAGCACACCCATACAGCAATTAATTAATTAATGTATATCCCTCATTTCTCTCAAGTGGGACCAAAGGCAGCTAACAACATGAGTTAGACACACAGTATAAGAATCAAAACCTAATACAGGTTGAGTATCACATATTTAAATGCACAGAAGTGTTTTGGATGTTGACATTATTTTTCCAGATTTTGGAATGCCTCTATTTACACATATACACACCATGAGATATTTTAGAGATGGGACCCAAATCTAAATGCAGATTTTATTTATGTTTCATATACATATTATACACAGAGCATGAAGGCAATGTTATAAATTATTTTAGATAATTTTATGAATGGAATCTATTGCAGATAAGTCCTCTCTCATTTCAACAAGGCAAACTTGAAGTTGTGGGGGCACTTTGACTTAAAGCATAGTTATGAACCAATGAGAGTGGGCATCAAAGCCCATGGTACCAAATAGTGATCTGGAACAGGGGTCCTCAAAGTTTTTAAGCAAAGGGTTCATTCATAGTCCCTCTGACTGTTGGGGAGTCAGACTATAGTTTGGGGGAAAATGAACAAATTCCCATGCACACTGTACATATCTTATTTGTAGAACAAAAAATGAAAGAACAATACAATATTTAAAATGAAGAACAATCTTAACCAACATAAACTCACTAGTATTTCAATGGGAAGTGTGGGGCTTCTTTTGGCTTATGAGATAATCAAGATAATTGGGATTGTTGTTGTGTGCTTTGAGGTGACCCTAAGTCTAATGTTTAGGATGTGGGGACAAGTAAATGACTTTGGGAGGTTGCATCCAGTTTGCAGGTCTTCATTTGGGGGACCCCGACCTAGACTTAGTTCATGAAATTTTGATCCATTTTTTTAGACAACAGCGCATGATGAAACATCACATGATCTGTTGCTTTTAGGTGGTACACTAGAAGTTGGAATAAACTTACTTTAAATAATGTGTTCTTTGTAATTATTTCCTTTTCCCAGTGGCAAAAATACAATTTAGTTATGTTATGATTGTACATTTATGGAATTCAATACAGTTTATGCAGTGTAGCTTTAAACATTTAAAGTTACCTGTATATACATCTACCTGCTTAGTTTACTAGTCTTTTCTGTGTAATATGATTAAAAAAGGAGAATGTGCATCTTAAGTAGCCTTCCATTGTTTTGGAGGTTGGATGTTACATTCTTGTTCTACATTCTTGAGCCCTAACAAAACCTCTCTTTTCTGGGAAAAATCTAATACTATTACTTATTCCTCTGGGAAATCTAGCAGGGTCCCTAACCTATTAGCTCTTGTTTTGTACATCAAAGTGAAGTACATCCTCAGAAGCAATTTCACTGGACTTTATATTGTGCCTCATCACAAAGGCCAGACAAAGCATTGCGGCAAAAGGAGAGAGACAGCAGGGCATGTCTATCATCCTATATGCAGCTCCTTCTCAGTGACACTTTCCCCATCACATGGGTGGAGTGTTGCCCTCCCAAAGAAAACCTTCCATGTTGTGGGGAAAGCCTCTGGCAATGCTTTTACCCTGGTTGGGGACAGGACCTCTACCGGAAGTCACGCAAAATCGTGTGATGGCTGGCATGGAACCCCGGCCAGAAGATGAGGTGAAAGAGTCCTAGGATGCTAAATTCCCCCATCTGATAAGGTCCATAGACTCATCACTGTATATCGAAGTGAACAGAAGGCTGATTTTGTGCTCCCTACGATGCTACAAGACTCCAAAATACTTCAAATTTTGAAGGGGCTGAAGGGCATTTCTACTATTTTTGACTTCCCCATCCCACAGGAATAAAAAAATGCAAAAAAAATCAAATATTTTTTTTTGCCCCC